CCCTAGGGTCCCTTCACGCAGCGGGACCCCTCCCCTGGGTAGGCCCCCGGGTATTGGGAGGGGTGTCCAAACGCGCCCATCCTCCCATAGGACAAAATTATTTCCAGTAACTCCTGATAATCATCGCTAATACTGGTTTTATTTTTTTTTAATTTGGTCTTGCAGTTCTTAAAATTCTTCCAGTTTTTTTTAAAAAAGAACTTCCAATGTTAAAGATACTCAAATTTAGTAAAATATTTCGTGTACAATTTGGACTTAAGCAAAAATTTTACTCCTTGCAGATACATTCAGATTTTTCCTGTGGAAACTAACACTTACCCTAAGGAAAAACACTACTCCTGGCAGTTAAAATTCAGAAACACATTTCATGTATGAACTAAAATGTGGATCTCCCAAGGAAAAAACGATTTCTTCGGTGGTTAAGTTCGGTAAACTGTTTCGCCTGTTGAGTTAAAATGTGGACTTATCGAGCAAAAATACTTCCCCTCCTGGTTAAACCCAGAAAAAAAATCTCAGGTATGAACTGCAGTTTGCGTTTAGTAAGCAAAGATAGAACTCTTGGCAGTTACATACTGGTACATAGGTTGTGTGTAGACTATGAATTTCGCAAAAAGTTGCCACTTTGCGTGAGGTTTAATAAAATATTTTATATTTCATGTATAAACTAAATTTTGTTCTTACCAAGCAAAAATGCTACTTCTGGCAAATCCCGATTTCGTTCATGGTTTTAATTTTGTTTTGTTTGCAACCGGCCTGGCTCTCACCCAGGCTGGAGTGCAGTGGTGCAATCTTGGCTCGCTGCAACTTCCGCCTTCCGGGTTCAAGCGATTCTCCTGCCTCAGGCTCCCAACTAGTTGGGATTACAGGTGCCCGCCACCACGCCTGGCTAATTTTTGTATTTTCAGTAGAGATGGGGTTTCACCATTTTGGCCCAGGCTGGTCTCGAACTCCTGACCTCAGGTGATCCACCTGCCTTGGCCTCCCAAAGTTTGGGGATTACAGGGTGAGCCACCGCGCCCGGCTCAAAAAACAAACAAAAAAAAAACCTGGCCCACACCCTGAGTGGGGAAGGAGAGAGAAGAATCCCAGGTGCTGGGGCCCTCCTGGTTTATACCGTTTGCCCCATTGGGATTTTATCCTGGTGTCTGGTGTGAGCAGAGAACAGACTCTGTTTCAAATAATTAACTCGGGGTCTCTTCGTTCGGCCCCGTGGACATTGGGCTTGGATTGTTCTTTGGGGTGGGGCATCCTGGGCACTGCAGGGTACTGAGCAGCGTCCCTGGCCTCCACTCACTCCATGCCAGGAGCACCCCAAGTCATGACAACCAGAAATGTCCCAAACATCACCCAATGTCCCTTGGGGGCAGAATGACACCCCCTAGTTGAGGACTTCCTCTGGGAACTGAGGCAAGAGGGTGCTCGAAATGAACGGGTCACGAGTGCGATTTCCAGAACAGTCACGACCAGGGAACCCCGTCCCTCTGTCCTGATTGCAACAGCTCTCACTTCCTCCTCCTGTCCATCTCTAACTCTGATGGCCGCCTGCCAATGCTGTGAGGCTTCTAGAAGGGCCACCCCCACACTGGCCAGGCCACGCTGGATGAACGCCAGGGTCAGCAACTGTGCCGTGCTGGCCCACCTGGCCGGGCTCCCCGGGAACCAGGGTGGGAGGTGCTTTGCTGAGAGCTGGGGAGTCTGTGACTGGTGAGGGACCCCCAGACAGCACGGAGAGAAAGAGGCATATCTTTCAAGAGGCTTGAACTGTCTGAAAGGGACAGCAGAGGATGTCAGGTGGTCAAGGATAGAGGGCCCATGCCTGGGTTTTCCTCTGAAATCAAGGTTGAGGGGATAGGGATGCTGGCAGAGGAGGCAGAGAGTGTAACTCTGATTGATTGACTGACTGATTTTTTTTTTTTTTTTTTTTTTTTTTTTTGAGACGGAGTCTAGCTCTGTAACCTAGGCTGGAGTGCAGTGACATAACCTTGGCTCACTGCAACTTCTACCTACAGGATTCAAACGATTCTCCTGCCTCAGCCTCCCGAGAAGCTGGGACTACAGGCATGCACCACCATGCCTGGCTAATTTTTGTATTTTTAGTAGAAACAAAGTTTCACCATATTGGCCAAGTTGATCTCAAACTCCTGACCTCATGATCTGCCTGCCTCCCAAAGTGCTGGGATTACAGTGTGAGCCGCCGCGCCCGGCTGATTGATTTCTGAGACAGGGTCTCGCTCTGTCAGCCAGGCTGGAGAGCAAGGGCATGATCTCAGCGGCTCACTGCAACCTCCACTTCCCAGGTTCAAGTGATTCTCCTGCCTCAGCCTCCCAAGTAGCTGGGAACTACAGGCTCACACCACCATGCCCAGTTAATTTTGGAATTTTTAGTAGAGACGGGATTTCGCCATATTGGTCAGGCTGGTCTCGAACTCCTGACCTCAGGTGATCCACCCACCTCACCCTTCCAAAGTGCTGGGGTTACAGGCGTGAGCCCCCATGCCCAGCTGACTCTGATTTAAAAAAGGATATGTGGGCCTGGTATGCACTTTGGGACGCAGAGGCAAAAGAATCACTTGAGGTCAGGAGTTCAAGACCCGCCAGGGCAACATAGCCAGACCCCATCTCTGCAGCAAATTTAAAAATTAGCAGGGCATGGTGGTGCACACCTCTAGTTCCAGCTACTCCAGCAGTGAGGCAGGAGGATCACCTGAGCCAGGGAAGTCAAGGCTGCAGTGAGCAGTGATCTCCCGACTGCAACCTG